TTCGCATAATTTGTTTTATATTGATCAACTGCTGCTTCCTACTGGAGCCTCACTCGTTTTGGTGAACCGTTAGAATATCACGTCTTGTATCTATCCACATTTTGTACCAAACTAATAATATACTTATATTTACACTGTTCTTGGTCTCTTATGTTTATCCTGGGAACTTACAAATCGTGTGTTTTTCCGCAAACTTCTACATAACTTTATCTCGACAGGAATTTTTGTCAACCGATCACACTCATTTCTCTAACTTTTATAAATTTTAAGTAAGATTGGATGGAGCATTAACCAATAGTTCTTTTCGCTTTGCTGAACATTTGCAATCAGATAGTGAAGTAATGCTTGGCATGTCATGATCGCAGTAAAGATATGAGCAAACAAATTGCCTTACAAAATTGAAAAGGCCGAATCCAATTCGCCAAAAAGGTCGTACATAATGCACTTGTTCTTATCTTTTAGAGGCCATGCATCACTCATACCTGACCAGGTATGGGCCATGGTGTAATATTGCTTATCAAGTATGAATATATCTTGCTCATAATTGGTTTTCTCAAGTCTTATCTACATGATCAATGTCATCATATAGGAAGCACTTTCCCATATTGGTGATTAGGAAATAGGCGAAAAACCCATCAAATTCGAAGACTAAAATGCTGGTTGATGAATTAAAGTTTGTCGTTATCGTGTTGTACCTCATTATGCAGAAACCTCCCGTCATCTCATTTTTCTGCCGTCATCCCACTTTTATTTGAATGTCAGAAAGATAAAGCTATATTCAATTTTAGTGCACCTCGATATTTAGCATAATCATCATAATATACAAGTCTGTTTTGTAATTTAATAAACTGAATCAACTTTTACTTTGAAATATAGATTTAAAAATTAAATATTTTTGCCGATCAAGTATTACATGAAAGACTATTTTAATTTCATTATAATATCGAACACGAGAGATATTATATTCGGGTGCTGTCGAATCGTAAAAGATGCTATCCAATCATATTCTTACATGGAATGGTTCGAAAAGAAGAAAGTTCCGGTGCAATATTCCTGCTGAGTTTATAGTTGTTAGATTATCGCTCATTTAGTATTGTATAATAATCTATTCCAATGTGTTATTAGAGTTGGTCCACAAGCGACATAATGAATTACCTCATACCTGCATTTTACATACCGGTAATGATTATTTGGAAAAATAAATTCAAATGTGATTTACTTCTATAGAACAGATAAAGTAGAGATAATGAATTGCACGGTCCGGCGTTTTGTTCGCGTTCCTGCGATTGTGGACACTAATAATATATTCGTACGCCTTATCAATAACGGAATGAACAAGCTCTTTTATATTTAGATCTTATCTTCTGCGGAAATAATGATCTTATCGTGTGCAAATACATGTGATACATAGACATTGAAACGAGTGAAACTTTTGTCATATACCTTTATTGAGGATATTTTTGTCGATGACCCTTTTTTCATAAGATTCGCTTTTTCTTATTTTATCATTATTCACATTTATGAAATGTTGAGCTAGAGGTGAAATGAGTCAACAGAATGCTACACAACACTGCCTGCTATTTTGCCTGACAAAAATATATTAGAGCTTTAAATTGCGTCAAATTATCAGTAAATTTGATGGCTTTTTCATTAGTGTTTTGTGCGCTCTTATCTGATATTCTTATCGCTTTCGTTCTCTATGCTTGCCCAAACACGGATACCAAATAGCAGACGAATAATATTGTTTAATGTGGTGAAACATGATCAATGGAATAATTCCTTTTTAAAAATTATGCAGCGTTTGCGGTTTCACTCGTATATATAACAGTTTTTAAATCCTACCGTCGATATATTATCGCGGGTATCTTATTAAAATATTCGGATGTGTGATGCAATGAAAAACATAAGTCCCTGCTTTTTATTTGAGTCTACAGGAAACTTTTATGCTTATCGGCTAAACTACGGGGGTTTTGACTACTTTTCTCTTCTACCCGTTATGTTTCAGACTTCTCTAAATGGAACCATAGAACTCAACCATAGAATTATGTTGTAAATATGTCGCTGTTTATTCCCAATCGATCACATCACCTTGATTACCCATCAACAAAACCAGGCAATTTGTACGCCGAATACTAGATGTATGATCACGATTCGGCAGTTATGTAGAAAAACAAGTGGGGTGCGCTTGTTTCGTCGACTGTGGTTAGGAAAGAACGATAAGAAATTGAGATAAGAGAAAACAAAATAGCGAGGCTGTGTGTCTACTCCAGCAACCGCGATACGCGATTTGCGCTAGCTCACTTGATAGTATTGCGATAGTACTAGAGAAAGCACTAGATTAATTTTACAGATTGTAAGCAAGGCTAGCATGAAATCTATATTGTTATGTACAGTCTAGTGTATTTTGAAATTGTACTTTCTTGGTATTATATCCGGAAGAGATATTAGTAGGCACGAAATAGAACTTGAAAAGTGTAATCTTTTTCTGGAATGCGGATCTTTTTTGCGAACTATCGCAAAATAATACTGGTATAATTTCCAATTTCAACTGTGTGGTGATGTGAGGGCAACAGACAGTGTATGGAAACAGTATTATATTCTGTAATATTTTTTTGCATCACCTTAGTTTCATTATTTGCAATTATCTAGTGGTAACGAAATCTGACATTGGGCTTCAGCACGTCACTTTTCGCTCTGGCAGTAATTACCAGAACCCATCGTTTATGGCGCTTGCAATTTGTGTAACTGTCTATGATATAACACGGCTCAAGGGATTATATAAAAGAACATTGAATATTTTATTTTGATCTATGTAAAAAGTGCGAACACGAGTTTACAAGTTTTGCTGAGATTCTATTGCGTGGTGAGTAACATTGTTTTAATAGTGCCGATACCAAATATTCCATCCCTCATTATATCTATAGGTTTTACATGTTGTTTCCCAAAGTTAACATGGGATAGTTTACAATTAAATAACATACGGTTCAACAAAGACTGTTACGAACTAAAATTTGGCTCTATCTAGTTTCGAAATAAGTACAGTTTAAAAACACTGTTCAGGACACTCTATTGCATAACTCACTTATTGCGCAATATTCACACCAGATCGACTTGAAATGCCCTTACGCGCTAGATACACTATATCCAACTACAAGAACTTCTCGATCGTACGCGGACGCTACGGGGTATTTTATTGTATTGCGTTTTCACATATTTTGCGTAACTGCTATTAGTATTTCGTGTAAAATGATGCTTACGTAGGCGTCCATATCTTTACCTGAGTTTCCATAATTAATTAATATCATCCATAGAGATAACTTTTCATCACCCAACACCAAAGCTGCTTTCTGGAAATGGAAATTTCATGTCAAGTTTTTAGGTTTCAGTAATTTAATATCAAGGGGTTTAATCGGACTCGCATTCGTTCCTAATAATTCAAGATATTTGAATTCCAAAACCAGAAACGCTAGAATCTGACACAATTTTAAATCTACTTAAAATGCCATTGAAGAGATCTATGAATTGAAGAGAATAGCATCCGAGTTGGAAAATTATACTCCAATCATATGTAATTTACCATGGGCAACGGGTGGACCAAACTCGATTAGCTATTAATTTTTTTCAAAATGTGGAAGCCGGGATTTGATAAATTGATGGTCTAAGTCCAAGCGTGAAAAACAGAAACTACCACTCATGCATTGTATTGAATCCATGTTTGATATAATACTTGATTCAAATTCGAAATTGTTGAGTGCAAAATCTCGTTTCATGTAAGTCATTAGAAAAGGCATCTTTGCATAACTATAGGTTTGGCATTTTAAATTTGATAATTCTTCGACATAACGGAATTTTCTAGTTTTACAAGCCACAGACAATTCTCAAATTACGTTATAATTAGTTGGGCGTCTCAATATTCCAAGTTCTCTATTTCGAAGAAATCATATATAGTATTTGGATCTGATTTCTTTTATTGGAATTATACTCGAGATGCTATAAATACATCTAAATGCACGCGAGCTTCCAAAAATTATTACAACTGCTGTCAAATTTATAAGTATAGGGAAAGGAAGGGAATTTTATGTAACTTAATATAATACATATAAGCTCTCAAACAAGCTTAATCGAATGCATTCCTGGAACGGAAATGGCTTTCTGAGCGTGCGGGGAATGAAGTCAGTCACATAGTGCATACAATTATTAGTAAGGAAGGAAATGCAGTGGTATGAGTGAAGAAATTTAATATATGAGTCGTCAATGTGACTAAACACTAAACAGGGTTCATCAGCTACAGTTACTCAAATTTGGACTAAATATTGAAGTATCATTTGCTAGTGTTCGATGTTTTCGAAAGTTTGTTCATTTATGATTCCTTGCGCAGATGTATATAAGATGTTTGACTCCATGCCAGAAAATATGTATTTAACTATTTTTTGATAATTAATTACTGAAACAAACAAGAGTCGTGTACAATTTAATTAGCCAAAAAATATTCAAACGCTATTTGTGTAGTTATGCCTTTAAAATTATGTATGTAAAGGCGCCAGATGTAAGTTCATTCAAAATTGGCAACAGAACATCGCTGTCAAATGTGAGGGCCGGTAGCTTGTGCTCAGGTGATAGCAGCAAGTTCGGTCTCATATTAGGCAATACGTCGCAAATGTATCTGTATTTTCACGATCGTAAACGAATTTAGAATGCGGGTTACACTATCCTGGCAATATAAACACAAAGTTTAGAAGGGTCTCAAACTGAGGTCTACATATTCCTTTAGAGATAATGACAGCAAAATCATTAATTGTCAATTGCATATTTTCGTGAATAAACTCTTTCTATAGCGCTTATACATCCTCAAAACCGGTTTTAACTTTTAGTTTTAGATCATTCAATTTTGTTGTGCAACTGTTTCTTGTCAAGATTTTCGTAAACCTTGAGATATTTATCAAATATAAATTTTATTTTAAGTTACAATAAAATAATAATAATAAATTTATGAAGTTATGTCAAGAAGAAAACAAAGCAGACCTCAACATGTCGAATTCGATGAGAAAGGTGAGTTTTATTATCGTTTATTTAAATTATCTTAAAATTTTTCATATTTTTGGCAAGAGCTAATCCAATGATATCGTCTCTTTATATGACGTATCCAACTATCCATTCCGAAATAGCTAATCAATTTATCGTTACGGATGCACGGACAAGGGACTATTTTGGAGAGTGTATAGCAGCAATTCTCCCGCACTCAATGCACCGCGGCCCCGCATTAAATCTAATAGGCATCCTGCAAAACCGTGTGGTGCTTACAAACTTTATACATACAAACTTTATCGCGACTTCACTCACTAATTAATCAGACTTTACCGAGATTTTATGGGTATTCGTTTGCAATCTTTTTTTAAATATAAGTGCATGTTGGATTGGGTAGGATCTGCATATTTATACCGGGAGGGGGATTTCTCCCGCACATAGTTATCTCCGACAGAATCCGAACCTGCGAACCAGAGCAAGAAGTGCGGGGGTGAGTTAGTCTTATTGCAATGTAGCTATTGTATAATAAATCGAAATTAAATTAAGTGATGCCTGAATTCGTCTTAGTCTTAATTTGACACAAAGATTTTTTTCTTTGTATAATATAATCCATCATTGTTCTTGGATTGCGCATTTCCGGAGAATGTCAGTATTTTTCTGAATTTGTGAGGCAATCACTTTAAAAATGGAAGTATATTTACTCTCATCTATATAAGGAGGCAATCGATTTGAGAGGCCTACGTTATTTGATAGCTTATTCATGTTTGACATGAGCATTAAATTTATGAATAATAAACAGCGGATATTCAGTCTATAAATAGTATGACACTTTTTTGTTAAAATACTGGGATCGCATTCAAGCATCAATAAACTCTAACAACAATTCTTTCAGCGAGAATTTTGCACCCAACGACATTCGAGCTCATATTTCCTTGAAGATTTGAAGGCGCTTCTTCTCATTGTGTTGTCGCTGTCGCTTCTTTTGTGGTTTCCTCCACTATTGATGAGTTCCCGTTTACCACGGCTTCCTTTTTGTAATTCTATTTTAGTAACTGTCTTCGAAGATGCATAGACAGCATTAAATATGTTATTTGAGCTGACATTTCTGCGAAGGCAAAAGGAAGTTGAGAATGCGAATACCTCCGAATATACACAGAAGATTTGTTTTCACCCTTTGTGTTAGGAAATGTAGAAAGTGACAATATAAGAATAGACCTAACAGTGCCGTACACGCATAGTATGTTCGGTCGAGGTTGGGCATGGATGGGAGTCTTTTACATTTTGGCGTTGACATAAAATTAATGTATATTTTGATATATATAGTGACAAGTTATTAAATACTTTCTGTATTGTAAATTGAATATGTACCTAGTTCTTGAGCGTGGGGAACTTGCAGACGTGAGTGCCAAATCGCCCATCCTAATGTTACACTATTTTATACCATGGTCTGTTTAAATAGAATCATTTCTGTGGTATTTATCCGCAAATTATTTGGCACGTAGGATTAGGGACTATACTACCGTGCTAAGCGTAAATAAACAATTAAATGCACCGGGGTCTAATATTGTGTGCTATTACATGATTTGGCGGTACATGCGTGCAAATTCGGTTGCTTGTTGCATCAAGCCTACATTCCGGGGTACGTGACCAAGCATACAAGCTAACAGATTATGGGGTTCATGTAATGAAACATAGATTGTGCCTAGGTGTTACATGTTGGGGTCTTTCCACATAGGAACTTATTTCACTTAAAAGGGCGCGGTTGTATATCATGCTTGAGCCTTACCTAGAATAGAATTATGTCGATTCGCCGCCCAGTGAAACCCAATAAATGCGATTGGATCGTTGTACCCCATTTTACAACTTCGATTTCCTGTTTTATTCTGGATAATATCCCAAGTCGAATAAGGGCACGTACAATGTCAGAGGGTATGCTTGATGGCATCGGAACACAAGGAAGCGAGGCACTGTGGTCGACCTCAAGTTTCGCTTATTTACAACTTACGTCACGTAAAGATGCCATGCCGTCGACAAGATTTTAGATTTAGTGCATTGATACGCAAAGTGTCGATGGATGTAATTCGCAGAAGCAACGGAGACCGTTTGGTGGTAAAATTGCTATTAAGAATGGTGGTAGAGATATTGCGTATCCCACTCAAAAAGCACGTTCTTCTGAAGTTTAATACGGGCTTTTAGATTTCATATCGAGATAAGAAAATCATATCGGTTTCAAAGCTTTGATGTCTACCGTTGAACCGCTCAATAGACTTTCAATTCATTCGCTTCACTGGTAGCATAACTGAATAGGAATTTAAGATGCTTTTGATGGCGCACGTTCGTGTAATCCACTTATTTGTAAATAAATTTGTCCTTCGAAACGGGATTTAGGTTGGAATGGACATTGTGCAATATAAAACAAAATGGAGTGACATGATCTGATTCACAGAATTCTTTTGTTTACTTTTCTATTTTTACTTAATTTAACTTGACGACTTTGACTCCAGGCGAGAAAATGTTGCGATTCTTTCAACTGTTCACCATATCAGTAACGTCATATCATTCGTGGCTTATTATTATTAATAGTGTGTTTTCATTTTTAAATTTTTATTGTTTTTATGTCCAGTCACTATTTTTTTTTTTTCATTAATTAAGCTACTTTTTACCTACAGTAGCTCTTCACATTCGAGTGGGTGCGTAGTTTAAAGTTGGTTTCGACGCCGAAATTCTCTTACAAAAAAAGAAAGTTGTATTGTGTTGACCTTGTTTCAACTTTTATACGTCAGGGGTTATGGCATGTATGATATCATAGACATTGGTAATTTTTGATAAGCACCATAGGCAGGGAAAACTTGGTATCCGAAATCTGCCACATGACTATTTTTGGTCATTTTATTCGGCAGTATAAAGATATTTTTCAGACAACCTAAGCAGGTTACCACTGCGATGACAATTCAAAATCGGGAAATTTCAATTTCTTTTGTATTATGGACCACAACAACAATTTCATGATGAAATCATAATGATGTATGGCAAATAAAAAAATGTTTTACTGCAAATATGAAACGAGTAAAGCCGAGTTTTCGTGATAACATTTGATTGAATTATTGATAAAATCTATAAAAAGTCGAGGTAAAAATCTGGCATCGTTCACGTTACACTTGTAAGGTATTTCTAAACTGAAAGTAACGTTTTCAGTTTTGGTACCATGTATGTATCGGTGCGCATTTAAACACCAATCACAGTAGTTCGTGATTTATTGGGTGGGGCTTATTATGATGCCTTTTGTTAGAGCGAATACTCATTTCTGTATTAGATTGTGCCGTTGCTAGGACGCTGTGACCACTAATTCTGAATGAATTTAGCCTTATTTGAACAAAAATATAGCCTTGTTTTAAATCGCTTAAATATTTGCAAAATTGGTTTTATCGATTTTAGGCAAAAAAAAAGAAATGAGCGGAAATTCAATTTTGTACAAAAAAAGTTTTTATCATTCTCGTTTTGATATACGAAAATTTTAGTAGTAAGTAGTAAGTAAAAATTTGATCTCAAAATTCAAAATTTTAATTTATTTATTTAAATTTAATTTTAGTCTGGCCTTTCAAAAAAATACATGAATGTCTATCACAAACTAAAATTCGCAAAACTTTTTTTTGCAAAAAAACATAAGAAAAATAATATTTTTAACCCCCTTAGGAATTAAAATCACCAGTAAAGTATAAACAAAACCCTAGATCTGATCTGACAGGATGATGGTGAATAAATACATGAAAGCGACTGTTGATTACATCACCGCTTTTGAACATAGATACTTACTTTTGATAGAGCCGAACCAATCGCGATTAGGGTTTATAAATGGAATCGCGGCGTTTATATTTGATGATATTATCCATTAATGTCTATTTCTTATCGCTGGTGAAATTTTCGCCACTATTTTTCTTTTAGAATTAGGTTGTTTGAGTAATTGCAGCCAAACCTATTTTGCTTCAGATTACATCAGATCTGTCTCCCCGAGCGGAGTTTTAAAAACCAACGTGAGCCCCACAAGGAATACTGATTTATTTTCTAATAACAATATATGAATTCCTAAAATTCACACAGATTTCACTGTATTATGCGCCATATTTTACCGGAAAATGGCTTGGTTCTGTCAAAGCAAGGAGTACTATCTAAATTTGCCATAAAAACGATTTCGAGTTAGACGAATACACTTTATATTCAGTTCAAAATGCTGTAGTAATTGCTGGTAAATTTACGAGATTTTTTTATAGTAGATGTCCAAACATAACCAGAGTTTTTATCGTGAATATAATGCATGAGTTTGTTTTAGATTGTGACTATAAAAATTTCAAGAATTGTGATTAATAAATAATGGCAAAACTTAAACTTACTCGAACCGAAAAAAACATCGTGATAACGGGACAAAATACTCTCTTATATGTATATATATATATATCGCGTTGATAAAAATCGGTTGACAGATTGATGAAGATTTAGAATTAGAAAGCTAATTTTTTTAAAGTCCTTTTTCGATTAAAACTATTCACAATTTTCACCTATGCTTGAGGATGAGTTATCGCTAGTTGAGTGATTCTGTGACCTTCTTTGCCTCGGATAAAAATAAAAATGGAAAAATATTTGACGGACAATCAGCGAAATTGAAGATTAACGTAAACAAAATTAACGATAAACCTAACATGAACTGGCTTAAATTATACCTCTATATTTAAATGCAATCATCGATGGCCCGGAAGTAACTCAAAACAATCTTTTGATCGCGTAGGCATGGTGTGTGAAATAATGCGTATTTTGGGTTAGAAAAATTTATATAACCCCAAATAATATGCAAATAATTTTGTTATCATTTTAAAATGAAATTACAAACCTAATTTAGATTTAATGATCCATTTCGTCACAGTTTTGAAATTATTAAAACTATATTTTTATATTTTTTTTTCTAGTGTATTTTAAGCTAAAATCTGGCGTTTTTTTAAATGACCAATATCACCCAATAATGCTAGGTCTAGAAATTTTATGACTCACAGAATCCAATCGACCTTTTATCTGTGTCTGAGAGATACAGAAAAACCTATTTTCCTATTTTATCTAAGGTAAAAATTCATTATACCATTGGCTTTATCCACCCGTTGTACTTCCATCAAATCATCGAGGGTACTCAGTTGAAGTTTTGCATACTGTATTTAAACAGGAAAGTGACTTATATTGGCGGATTTCCGTCTTCAGATTTGTAAGTTGAGTCGCGGTCTCTTATTGTGGTGTTCTAATTTCATTTTAAAAAACAGTGGGATCAATTTGGCCTGCGATCAACTAATACAAATTTCAAGAGTAAACAACATGCATTGGGGTTTTACACTTGAGGATAAATATTTCAACGGTCGCAAAGAAATTTACTCGTTTTGTTGACAAGAGAGCGATGCTCAAATATATGGACACGAAAGCTATAGCGAAGCAGTAGTCTTTTACCTTACCTTTTACAGTACCGGTGTCCTCAAAAAACTTCTGACTTTCCCGGAGCAAGAAAGTAGCACGAGAGAGTTCGAATGAACCGCTACAAATATTTTGTATTAATTTTCAAGAGGTCATCGCACAAAATTTCGAAATGGAAAACGAATCGCATAAATCCCCCGGAAAGGTTTGCAGTGAATAAAATCAATAGCCTTCTAGCGGAAAATGCAATCTTTAACCACTGGAAATGTCAAAGCGATTGATTCAGTAATCAATATGAAAAGCGATTGTTTTCATACGGTAACAACATGAAGGAAAATACCAACGCGAACAACAACAACAACATAATAACAAAGCGATCCATAGGTCTATTTCGTGTCCAATAAACATATACGTCCTATCTGTTAGGATTGATTTCTCAACACGGTGTAATTCTGCTTCTGTAACTAACCTCCCCGCTCGCCTACTCACTCGCGCCGCCGTGACAGAGTCGATGCAGTCAGTGCTTGCATATAAAATATGGTTCCCGTCAACGAAATTCTATCAGTATACCTTAACGCCAGTAGCAATT